CTATGGAATTTGTATCAGAATTCATTATTCCTAACATAATGATACAACTAATAATATCCTACTGGATACATTGGAATTCTGAGGAATAAGTTGTAAAGCAGAAACACCAGATCTCAAAGGACTGACAATGGACTTTCTATCATAATTCTAATATTTCAGTCCTGATATCAAACAAGAATCTTCTAGTATTTGATTTTAAGAGGGTTTTGAAGAATTCATTCACCCCAATCAGGTGACACCAATAACAAGTAGGCCTACCAATAACATTTATCAGTACAAAGTCATTATTTTGGGCTGATGTTGGCATGACCTCAGGTGCACAGACACATTTTGATGGACAGTATTGATTGCTGAATCTCCATTGTGACAGGAGGCTGAATCTACAGTACAGGAAGCAAACAGGGACTTCTGGGTGTTTGGTCGAGGTTTTCGGCACTTATTAGTATTCTGGGAGTGTGTGCATCTGTGTTAGCAGTTTTTAGTGCAGTGTTGTGGGAGGGGTGCGCCAGCAGCGACGGTTATGCAACCAGAGCAGCATACGCAGCTGGTTTGTCATTGTATTCATTCTGGATCATTCTCGCGCATTGAGCCCACGGCCCACAGAGACATTATAAACAACCAGGTGAAAGATGCAGTGCAAACACATACAATAGAAATTATGATGCTAAAAGGATGACAATTAGCTTGTGATGTTTTATTAAAAATGGTGTGCAAAACAGGTGTAAGATGTTCAAGGATAGTAGGTCTACGGTAGTGCATTATTTATCTGTGTGGAGCGAAGAAGACAGCATGGAGGATGCTGGGATGTGGGGATTGTGTTATATAACAGACTGAGATTTTCACATGTCCTTGTGCTGTCATACACATAATCCACAGCGGTGAGAGGGAAATTGTGTATTTATGTGCAAACGCATACAAAGTATTCTATGGGACATGTAAACATGCCACATTTATGTCGTAAGCGGTTGCTAGGGTGTGCCCTAGCAAGTTAGTTGTAAGGGTGTTCTGGATCAAAATGTCAAGATCAAAAAGTCTCTATGACATTCTGGCCACTAGATATGACTTGGGTCATTCAGTGTAAGTCTATGGTGTTTTCCCCCGCCTTTTTAGCACAAACAAGGAGAGACATACAATAGAAATTATGATGCTAAAAGGATGACAATTAGCTTGTGATGTTTTATTAAAAATGGTGTGCAAAACAGGTGTAAGATGTTCAAGGATAGTAAGTCTACGGTAGTGCATTATTTATCTGTGTGGAGCGAAGAAGACAGCATGGAGGATGCTGGGATGTGGGGATTGTGTTATATAACAGACTGAGATTTTCACATGTCCTTGTGCTGTCTTACACATAATCCACAGCGGTGAGAGGGAAATTGTGTATTTATGTGCAAACGCATACAAAGTCAACAAGAATTTGTATTCTATGGGACATGTAAACATGCCACATTTATGTCGTAAGCGGCTGCTAGGGTGTGCCCTAGCAAGTTAGTTGTAAGGGTGTTCTGGATCAAAATGTCAAGATCAAAAAGTCTCTATGACATTCTGGCCACTAGATATGACTTGGGTCATTCAGTGTAAGGTTCAGTATGGTATTTCCCCCCGCCTTTTTAGCACAAACAAGGAGAAACTTGTGAATACTGACCTTGAAAAAGCCACACATTTTGAGGTTTCATTCATACCTGAGGAATTCTTCACTGAAGTGTGTAGTTTAAGGACACGTGTATGGGTTCATAGAATAAAAACATCCTCTCATACAAGCCGTTTCTGGCAGTTGTGTGTGTAGCAGCTCAAGCTAACATTGCTCCCCCTGCAGTACGTCACATAGTCATGCAGTCCAGTGTTTCTGCAGGCCATTCAACAAACACATACACACACATCATTCACAATGCATTTCATATGAAGGAAGTGTGAAGGAGGAATATTGTGTGACAAGATTGTTTGGCTACTTTGTTTAGAGTACAACTATCATCATTAACAGGATGCAGCTAGCTTTATCACAAATGCTTTTCATTTGTCAGCTTGAGGGAAAATTTATTTAACCACTATATACCCGATTACTTGAAAAGGCCACTAACGCCCTCAGAGTTAGAGATTATGTTGCACACTATTTATTATGAAACTAGATAATTCAAAAGAAAAGAAGGTACAAAAAGCTGTTGCCGAGGTGGTAATCTTTCAAAATGTATTAATATGTACTTTTAAAGTACTAATATTTATTTTAAGGTTACTAATAGGGGTAAATAAGGTACAAAGATATCTTATTTGATGTGTAAAATAAAATGTCACATTTATATATCAAGATATTTATATATTAAGATATTTTTATATTAAGACCTATAAGATTAGATATATTATTTATATATATATCTCTAATTATTTATGTATTCACATGCATAGAGTTGCAAGAAAATGTAAGTGAACTATTTTAAATTTTCTGGTTTCTGCATAAATTGGTCGTGAAATATCATGTGATTTTCACCAGTCACAAATGTCAACAAACACAATATTTCTAAGCTGATAAAACAAAACAGTCATGATCTTTCATGTCTTTTTGAGCACACTCATTAAACTTTATTAAAGTGATAGTGGAAAAAGTAAGTGAAACACTAGGCTTCTGGCATCACTAAGGCCCAATACCAATTCTCTTTTATACCCCTACGCCTGGCCTACCCCTTCCCCTTGTCCCTTGAAACAGAGTGTCAAGAGGTAGGGGTAAAAATATTGCCCTAAGAAATGGGACGCCAACACTATACCGTTACACGTCATCATACGTCATCTAACTCCTACAAACTTTAGCAATTTTTTTGCAAACATTTCCGTATATACAGTATATATGGAATAACATGACTAAATATGAACACACGATTAAATGTAACATAAAACTAATTATTGCTTTTCATTCAAATCTTTATTAATGCCAAAAATGCTTAAATTTATGGTATTTTTGTTTGCTCGGGCAGTCATGTTGCCTCTGTAGCTGGTTTATATTGAGATAATTCTCATACCCCTTTGTTTGAAGCGTGGTCCCGAAAAATCTTCGTTTGAAGGGCTATCTGGCCCTTCCCCCAACGCCTACACCTACACGTCCAACCAAAAGAGAATCGAGACACCCCTATCCCTTCACATGAACGCGTGAAACGGAGTGGTAGGGGTAAGGTGTAGAAATGGGATTGGGCCTAAATGCCAACTGGAGTCAGATGTTAGCAAATCAGGAGTCCAATCAATGAAATGAGAATAAAGGTGTGGTTTAGAGCTAAATTGACTCATATAAACACCCAAACAGTCAGTGTACTATTCACAAGCAGCATTAGCTGATGTGAACCATGCCTTGCACAAAGAGATCTCAGAAGACCAACGATCAAGAGTTGTTGATATGCATGTTGCTGGAAAGGGTTACAGAGTAATCTCAAAAACTACTGTCCACTGTCCATCAGTCTACAATAAAACAAATTGTCTAACTATGACGATATGGTACTGTGGCTACTTTCCACAGAAGTGGGCGCCTAGCCAAGATCTCTCCAAAGGCAAAAACGCAGAATGCTTAATGAGGTGAAAGAGAACCCTAGAGTAACAGCTAAGTCTCTGTTCATGAGTCAACCATACATAAAACATTGAACAGGTATGGTATCCATGGAAGGACACCACAAATGAAGCCACTGCTCTCCAAACAAAACATTGCAGCATGCCTAAAGTTTGCCAAAGACCACCTTGATACTCCACAACACTACTGGGAAAATAAAACAGCGTACCAACATGAAAACATCATCCCAACAGTGAAGTATGGTGGAGGGAGCATCATGATTTGGAGCTGCTTTGCTGCCTCTGGACCTGGACCGTTTGCCATTGTGGAGGGGAAAATGAATTCCCAAGTTTATCAGGATATCCTACTACAGGATAATCTCAAGGTGACTGTCCGAAAGCTAAAGATCAGAAGAAGCTGGGTGATGCAGCAGGATACACATTGATGTAAAACTATACAGAATGGCTTCAGAGACAAAAAAATCCACCTTTTGGAGTGGCCCAGTCAAGCCCAGACCTCAACACAATAGAGATGCTGTGGAATGACCTCAAGAGAGACATTCACACCAGACGTCTTAAGAATATGGGTGAGCGGAAGTAGTTCTGTATGGTAGAATGGTCCAAAATTATTCCTGGACGTTGTGCAGGTTTAATACACAGCTACGGAAAGTGCTTGCTTGAGGTTATTGCTGCCAAATGTCCATCACTTTGAATGTTTAATAGGTGTGATCAATAAAGACATGAAAGATCATTTGTGTTTTATCAGCTTAGAAATAGTTTTGATATTTGAGACATTGGTGACGATCAGATCACATTTCATGACCAATTTAAGCAGAAAACCAGGAAATTGAAAATAGTTTATTTACTTTTTCTTGCAACTGTACTTAACATATTCATAGTTATAACTATGCACTGAAATTTGTGAACAGATTCCATTCTACAATTTAAAATTTCTAAAATACGAAAATCATTTACCAAATGAATGTTTCCTTTATCATCTTCTGGAAAATTAATAATTGAATCCCACTAATAGATCACTCATTGTATCTTGAGCTGCTGAAGGAAACCAATGGTCTTGGACTTTGATTTCAGATATATCAATAGAATCTTCACGCTAAATTAAATATTAACTTTCCTCCTGCGCTCTTATCTTTGAAAGGGTTTGCACACATGATGTTAATCTTAGATTATGTTTATCATTTTTTTTCAGTGTTAGTTATGTTAAGTTTGAACATGCTTCTGACCTTCAAGCGTGCATCTTAATAAACACATAAATACTCAAATTCATTCATTTTTATTACAATATAGACAGAAAACACTAAATGAATATATTACAGAGTTCAAGATATATATACCATGACAAAAAATATGTATGTTATTAAATAAAATATCTTTGCTTGTCCTAGACAAAAATATATATTTTTATTTACAAGATAATCAAAACTTACCAAATAGTAAGACCAAAATATAATAGGGGGAAAAAATGGTAGATGAGAGGCATGTTAAAAATAGCACAGAAAAAGGCTTTGCATTGATTTGATCATAATGCATCAGAAGACTTTACAGGGAACAAACAACAAAGCTAGCTCCAACTTCATATTATTACTTGAAACTATTACTCTGTAATTTGTTAAAGTTATAAAGGAAGAACGTGCGGTAAACAAATGTACAGTAAAAACAGTCAGGCATGTGTTAAATTAGATACTGTAGCAGCTAAGAAAGATTTGACATGACTACAAGGAAGAAAAACAAGGAAATGATTATAAGTTTTAGTCTTGGGTTTAAAATGAAAGTCAAAAATATATATTTTTTCTACTTCCTGCCATCAAATCAAAAACAGTAGGCAGCAGTAAGGACGTTTTTGTGGAGGATATTATAAGGAAGTGTGGAGTGTTTCAAGAGGAACTTTTGTAACTACTTACAATCAGATTAATTATGTTTAGCTTGTTGTTACTGATAAGGTACAATTTCTTTTCCACAGAATACAGCTCTAATATCCTTAACAGAGTTAGTTGATACTGATGATTTTTAGCCAAAGAAACCATGGAAGAAGACACAGATGGTGAGGAGGATAATAGCGTTAGCGTTGACCAAGTTTCTCCATAGAGGTTTCTCAGTGGTGTCCGTGAGCTTCATATTCAACTCTGTCTCCTGTTCTTTGGTCAGTTTAGGTGCATCACTTTGATCAAAAGTGCAGAACCAGTTGTAGGCCTTCTTCCAACAGCTTGGATCCTTGCGCACCTCTGCGGGGTCGAGAGACAAATGGAAACAGTTGTTGATTGTTTTTAAAAGTATGTATGTTTTAAAAATACATTATGTGAGCATCATTTCCACAATCAGCATCCTTTGTTTTTGCTAGAACAACAATCTAATCAACTAATTATGGCCCTAACCTAGTCTCAGCATCAGACGGCACACTCACAGTCCATTCACTGAGCTATGTGATGCATATCGCACACAAAAATAGTGAGTACTATCTTATGGTACATATTTAGTGGATCATGGAGATGTACCTTCTGTTTGCACAGAATCTGAATCCTGATCGTCAGTCCAGTCATCTTCTTCCAGATCAATCCATTCCTCAGTGCTGTTCCTCAAACTCCAGCAGACCCTGTACAGCTGTGAAGCAACAAGGGGCCACAGAATGAGGGGCCATGACGTCTAAATCTCTGTTTTTCAATAATGTTATGCATGATGAATCTATATATAGGCCCTACGACCATTCAAAAGTTTGGGGTTGTAAAATATGGCTGTAGTGCATACATTTTCATATGTTTTCTATTTTAATATTATTACAATTTTAATTTATTCCTGTTATGACAAAGCTGAAGTTTCAGCATCATTACTCCAGTCTTCAGTGTCACGTGATCCTTCAAAAAATCATTCTAATATGCTGATTAATTGATCAAGAAACATTTATTACTATGAATGATGAAGAGTTTTTTTTTTTTTTTTTTGGAAACCATAATACACTGCCATTCAAAGGCTTTTCCTAAAGAAATTAATGTTTATCTAGCAAGGACACATTCATTTGTTTAAAGGTGACAGTAAAGACAATTATAATGTTACAGAAGATTTCTATTTCAAATCAATATTGTTCATTGAAATTTCTATTCAACAAAAAATAAATAAATGGTTGAAAAAAAAATCATGGTTTCCACAAAAATGTTAAGTATCAAAAACTGTTTTCAACATTACTTTAAATTGTAATAATTTTTCACCGTTTTACTATTTTTACTGTATTTTAGATCAAATGCCGTCTTGAACGTAAGAGACTTCTTTCAAAAACATAAAAAAATCATAAGTATTCTGAACGTCACAGTTTAGTTGTCAGAAGAGCTTACATGTTTGTCGTCAATGGGTTTAGTCATGAGGGAGATAGATGAGTAACTAGATGAGTCATTCTGATGACAAACTTGATGTTGGCTTGACAAAGCCAGGCCTGGATGTTTGAAATAAGCTTTGAAAGCTTGAAGTTTGACGATTTTACATTGCTAATATTTTTCTAGTATTTTAGCACATTGCTAAGATTAATTATCATTTTGCTGACATGTTTATAGCATTATTTAGCACACGGTTAGCCTGTTTTAACAAATTGCTAGCATGTTTTAGCACATTCCCTTAAGAAAATTAACCATGGTTTTATTTAAAAAAACACACAAAAAAAACACGGTTACTGTAGTTAAAGGAGTGGTTGTTTGTGATTTCACTTTTTTAACTTTAGTTAGTGTGTAATGTTGCTGTTTGAGCATAAACGATATCTGAAAAGTTTTATTTAAACTGAACTGAGCTGGATGATGACATCACTGAATTCAATGATGAACTGCCTTTAACTGAAAAATGAGTGTTTACTATTGTCATTTTGCATTATTGACAACTATTTTCCTAATTAATGCTGTTCAGTTGCTTTGACACAATCTGTATTGTTAAAAGCGCTATATAAATAAAGGTGACTTGACTTGACTTGACTAAAGTTACGGCGATGAAAGTTCAATGAAAATGGAGATATTGTCTTTTAAAGAAAATTCAGTTTAATGCCTACAGTTACAACTGGTAGGGACTACAACGAGCTACTTCCCCGGGTTGGTGACATCACAAACCCTGCAATTAACATAAACCCTGCCCCCAGGAACAAGCAACAAAGGGGGCGAGGCTATGTTGTGCAGCTTTTCCACCGGAACACATGTAACTATTGCCCGTAATGGTAAGGGGCGTGACATTTCCGGACAACATGCAATACGCGGTTAATGAATGGCCAGCTAACCAATCTGACCCCATTGCGTATTTAGGAGGGAGTGGTATCATAGAAACAGGAAGTCAACCAGCCGTTCAAATGACAATGGAGACAGCGCCGTAGAATAAAGGTAAAATATATGACAACTAAGGCAGTTTTTTAAAAACGAAGCGTGAAGACGTTACACTGCAAACCATAAACACAATTAAGCCTAGAAAAAAGCTGTCAACCACCCTTTTAAACCATGAGCTTGTTGCTCAACATTCAAATACTCAGTGCTTGCTGTAGCAGTTGCAGTGTGCTTCAGAAACCCTCCCCCTTCCCCAGTTCCGCCTGTATAGATCTGCTATGGGTTAATTTCATGTATGCTATATATGGGAGTTATTTCATGTATGTTATATGTGCAGCATCAGTATTTCCTACATGCAGCATGTCTGTGGATGTACTGGCAGTAGAAAGTCTCTGTACTTGCTCTGCCACAGCAGCAGCAGCGGCTCTATTCTGTCAAGACCAACCACATTAACATTGCCATGTATATTACCATGCTAAACTTTCTGAGAGTTGTCATGACAGAATTGCGGTTGCAGATGCACAGTGAACTTGCTCTCGAGTGTTCATGGACACTGACCTTGACTGTTCCAATATGGCGGACGGCTTATGTACATACAGCGGCCCATAAAAACAGCCGCTAATGAGGCATCTATGCAGACATATCTATGGTTTTCACAAGTTGCTACCATGTTTTAGCATAATGTTAACATGTTTTAGCACGTTGCTAACATGTCTTTAGCATGTTTTAACACACTTTTAGCATGTTTTAGCATGTTGCTAGAATAGTTATTGTATGATATAACACATTGTGAAGCAACATAATAATCATCAGCAAAATTTTGATTGTGTGTGAAAAAAACTGTACGTTTTATACAGTCCTAAAAATTCAAACTAGCAAAATGGAAACAAAATTATTACAAAACTATGAAATGTGAAGATTTTGCTCACTGGTTCATTGACTCGCTTGCAGAAAATGGCGAGGGTGAAGACAGCAGTGATGGGTGGAGCCAGATAACTGGTGATGGACTGAATTGTCGTTCGTTGTAGTTTTTGAAAAGGGATTTCTGTTAAATAAAATATCTCCTTTTGAATTGGACTTTGAGCTTTGTAACTTTGCAGATCTTTTTAATGCTCAAACAGCAACATTACAGACTAACTAAAGTTGAAAAAGTGAAAAAGCATAATAGCACCCCTTTAAAGTAAATATATTCTTGAAATGTATTAAATTTCATCATTACTAATTAAAAATGAATTTAAATACAAGGCATCATAATTACCATGCATTAGACAAAGGTCTAAAAAACTATTCACACTTACAATAAGTCTACTCTTTTCGCACTACTATAATACAATATATTATTTCCACAATATCTTTTTTAAACGAAACTTCTTTTTCATGAGGGTGAATTAACTTGTCTTGTCATAAAATATCAAATTATCTGATATTTTAAGAGACTTTGACCTTCACCCACAATAATGAGGGTCTGCAAGGGTTCTCTATGATATCCTGTTTTATGTTTTGTTCTGCACTTTTTTACATGTTGGTCGCACCACATTAGAATATCATTAAAAATAATTCCCGCCTACAGAAATTCTAATGGTTGGGGAGTGGGGAGGGGCGAGGTTGTGGTTAGAACGCTTGGTTGAGTGAGTGCATCAGACGAGACGACGAAGAAGAAGTGCTGATGCAGAGTTAGTGCATCAGAGAAAAAGAAGAAGAAGAGCTGCTGTGCTGTAGCTTCAAATTTTCGGCATGTCTAGAACAATTCTTACAAGTACAACACGACGTAGCTGGGTGCCGCGGACTTTGGATTGGCCGACAAATGTTTTTTGTTTTTTAAATATTAACAAGCAGTAGTAGCAGGAGATTTCTCATAATGAAATATTCTAAAATTATACATTTTCTCAGTTTAAACATTTGATATGTCATCTATGTTGTATTCTGAATAAAATATTGAAATTTGAAACTTCCACATCATTGCATTCTGTTTTTATTCACAATTTGTACAGTGTCCCAACTTTTTGGGAATCGGGTTTGTAGAGCAAACTACTGATGAAGAATATGTGCACTGTGCCAGTTTATAGTGTGCAGTATTTCAGTCAACAGACCTGTTACTGTATAAAGAGCTGTAATGAGCAGCAGAATAATCACGGCCAGGTAAATGTTTAGTCCCAGAGCCTGGTTGATGAAAATGGCTCCTGCACACATGTCCGCCTGAAAGATGGAAAAAACAGAAGTGGGTGAGGAGCAAATGTTTGAACTATCCATTTCAAAACAAGGTCCTTATCTTTGAAATCTAAACCCACTTTAGTCGGACTGCATATGGCAATAAAAGCTATTTCCACATGGACATCACGACCATTTCAAATCGACTATCAGACTATAACCAGTGTTTAGTGAAGATCTGACGTAAACAAGGCTGGACAGACAACAAACAATATAGAAATGAATTTTAATTCAGAAATAAGGACTGTAGTATTGGATGTCAGCTACCACGCAATTACCATGTGATACTCATATTTTCTGTAAGGGTTGACAGATTTTGGACTCACAGAGATTTTGATGAAAACATAGAGAAACAGGGAGAGCACGGAGAGGTAGATACGGATCCGCTGCCCACCAAAGCGTTTCTTCAGGTACTCTGGCATGGTCACGACCTGCAGATAAAGAGAATTAAGGGTAAAAAAAATGATACTGCAGAGAGATAATGTGGTCGACACAGTCATGTTGTGCAAGTCAGCAATATCTGAGTCAAGTCACCTTTATTTATATAGCACTTTATACAATACAGATTATGTCAAAGCAGCTTTACAGTGTTAACAAATGTAAAAAAGTTTGTTCTGCAATGCCGGTTAAAGAGGAAGAAATGTAAGCATACCCCAGCCTTAATGTAGATGGGCACGAAGAGCCATCCCAGAATAATCACTACAACAAGAGCATGAGGAAACAAATGAAAAAGAGAAAATCGGTTTGATGTTTTCTAGACATAGTCTCATCAGTGTTGTTAGTGTTAACTAAAACTAAAACTATTAAAATCATTTTTGTTAATTTAAATGAAACTATAAAATCAAATATAAGATAAAAAATGTATGAAAAAATGTGCTTACATGACTAAAACTAAAACCCAAATAAAAACCCAAAGCTAAATAGAAATATCTAAGAAAATAAGAATGACTAAAATATGAAAAATTAAATACCAAATCTTAATAAATAGTATATAAATAATACTAAAATAACACTGATTACACCAATTCATTTGTTCTTTGATATTTTATTAATATCTTACCTTAATGATTAAATATTAGTTCTTCAAATTGGACATTTTTATAATTATATCAATAAAAACACAACAATGTCTCTAGTCATATTGTCTCCAATCTCTAGTCATACTGTAGATTACTTTATATGCAAAATACTTACAGAATATTATTTTTCTTTTTTAATGACCCATAGTCATAAACAGTAGGCTTAAAACATTAAATCCTGCCACATATCAAAAATATGAAATATCATAGTTATAATGTTATGTTTTTTAAACATACATTCCACTCAAAACCTCCGATAGCAATACCAGCAGCTGCTCCAGTTCCTGCTATTCCCACAAAATGCCCACTTCCGATGTTACTTGCAAAGAGAGAGGCTCCAATCTGGGGGGGGGGGGGGGGTTAAAACAATTGTGTAAAAACAATCATATTAATATGTGCTTTATAATATATTTTGATATTTGATATTCATATAAGGGTTTAAACTGAACAGAAAATTTAATCTAAGTCATCTGCTACAGTTTTGAATGTCAGAATGGTTACAAAAGTGTAAGAGTTTAGCATGGGATTGTGGGAACTGTAGCCTATTGCTTCAGAATATATTAAGTGCCTACTGTTTGACTATATCTGGCAATACAATCACCATAATGATAAGCTATAAAAACTACTTCTTCTGCACAGCCAGAGGTGTAATTCAAACAATAACAATTGCAACAATGAACTTTGTAATAACAAATAAAAACCTTTAAAAATTTGGTATAAGGTGATAACTTTAGCATGGACCAAAGCATGACAGCTCTATACAAACTGCATGAGCAAACCATATCAGTACTTTCAGCTGTAATGAATTGTGGGTCGCATCTGGCATCAGTGCCCCATAAAAGATTTCATTCACCCTATTATGATATCAAGGTTCTGAAATTGAGGGGCAGGTAGGGTCATTATCATGCCATATTTGTGATAATGTGAAATCACTCGTCATGCTATTATACATAATCAGCTCCTAATTTTATGGCCGTTTCAGTCTTGCGTAGCACATTACGACAGAAATTTGCCACATTTAGCACAATGATCAATCACTATTGAAGTAGTATATGATCAAGCCATGCCATTTTGTCAATGTCCATCACATTCTGAGTACAAAATAATGATGCTTTTAAGATTTAAAGCACAGTCATCCTCCATTTTGGTCAATTTACTTACCGGCCACCACACCATACTTCTGCCAGCCAGGAAAAAGCCTCCTACTGTGGCTCGATTGGTCCGTACCATTGCCTTTGGACAGAAATAGCCATTAAATTCAGCATATATACGGTTCTAGAGTCTAGACACTTTAAATATTAGACAACATTGTATGTGACTTTATATAATGATCAGACCCATTTCGTGAAAACATCACATTTGTGGACTCAAAAGTTGATGGATTGGTGTTCAGTGGCTTTGTTTGTTGTTCGATTAAATATGTTTGAATTTTCTCAAGAGGTTTTAAAAAGATATGGATTTCAGATGGACAAATGCAGGTAGAAAAATATGGTTTTATCACGAAATCCCCGAAATGTCAATGCCCGCAATAAGACTTATTAAAGGGGTTCTATTATGCTTTTTCACTTTTTTAATTTTAGACAGTGTGTAGTGTGTATGTTTGGGCATAAAAAAGATCTAGAAAGTTACAAATCTCAAAGTCCCCTCCAAAGGGATATATTTCGTTTTTAAAAAAAAACCTTTTCAAGAACTACAACGAATGGCTCGTTTGGACTACAGTGTTTGTTTTCCGGGCTTTGTGATATCACAAAGCGGCCCATTAGAATATCATTAAAAATAATTCCCGCCTACAGAAATTCGAATGGCTGGGGGGTGGGGAGGGGCGAGGTCGTGGTTAGAACGCTTGGTTGAGTGAGTGCATCAGACGAGACGACGAAAAAGAAGTGCTGCTGCAGAGTTAGTGCATCAGAGAAAATGAAGAAGAAGAGCTGTACAACACGACGTAGCTGGGCGCCGCCGGTGTGCCTACACTCATAGAAAATAATGTATTTGAATTTTAAAGATGTGGCGCGACGCTGCGTTCTCGTCCGGTGCGCGACCGCCTGAAATGCTGTTTTTTTCACCTCCGTGCCCAAACGTCTTTGTTTGGGCTTCCAAAAGCGGATGATGTCAGGAAACAGTGGTTGCAATTTATTTTTTAACTCTGTCCCTGAGCATTATAACCCCAATTTGCTATTGTGTGCTGCGCATTTTACTGAGGACAGCTTCCACAACATGAGGGAGTACAGTGCCTGCCGGATTCGCGCAAAAGCTTTTGTTGAAAGATGGAGCAAGGGGCGCTGCAATACTGACTGGAACACCGTCTAAGCTGTTCGCCAATCACAACGCACTGGGACAGCTAACCAATCACAACACATTTTGTTTTTCGGAAGGTGGACCTTCATCAAAGCCGGAACTAATCGAGCCGTTTGTGCCAGGATGGGGGAGAAAGGTATTTTAATAATGTAAAATATGTGAAAAATAATGCATTTTTCGAACCACCAAGCAATAGAGCATGTTCTAGTACACCCCCAAAACAAAATCAAGACTTTGTAAAAGAGCATAATAGGACCCCTTTAAGATACATTAAGGTAATTCATATGTAAATTAATTTGTAAATAATTTCTAAAATATTGCAATTCATTTAATAATTTCAATTTCATTTTTTTTTTTTTTTAAACAGATACAAGTATCATTAATAGTCACTTTCAATCACATATGAAGAATTATAACAAGAAATGTAACATTGGAGCAATTCATTTATCTAAAGGATTTAGTTTTTTGGGGGGGGGGGATGCTAAATATATTATAATGCAAATAATATAATGTAAAAAAGGATTATATTATATTTTATCTGGGGGGAAAAAATCTAAAGGATTTTAGCATTTTTAACAAAACAACTTGAAAAACGGCATTATATTATATTATATTATTGATTTTTTATAAAGGATTTAGTTTTTTTGGGGGGGGGGGATGCTAAATATATTATAATGCAAATAATATAATGTAAAAATGCATTATATTATATTTTATCTGGGGGAAAAAAATCTAAAGGATTTTAGCATTTTTAACAAAACAACTTGAAAAACGGCATTATATTATATTATATTATTGATTTTTTAATCAGTTTTTCTAAAGGATTTTGCTTTTTTTTTTTGCAAAACAACTTGCAAAAATGCATTTTATTATTAACTTTCTGCGAAATCGGTCACCATCCTCATTCTGTCTTCAGACTTATCTCACACAGCCATTGTACATTTATATGTTGATGCAAGGTTAACAATTCACAAGTCTGTCAATGGTAGAAAAATCTTTTACAGGTGGATAGAAATTACTGACCACTTACCCATATTCCCACAGCCAGAACCACCAGAAAATATATAACAATCACTGAGATGTCCGCTGGATTGTTAACATATATGGTGACGTTTTTTCTGTTCTCATTGTGAGTCCAAGAGAATCCAAAATATTCTTCACCCATTTTGATGGTTTTCGAAGGGGGGAGCAGCACACTCCCTCTCTGACACAATGGTAAAGACACCTGGATCAGACGCTCACCTGCAGGTGTGTGACTGTATGTGCATACTGACCACTTACCCATATTCCCACAGCCAGAACCACCAGAAAATATATAACAATCACTGAGATGTCCACTGGATTGTTAACATATATGGTGACGTTTTTTCTGTTCTCATTGCGAGTCCAAGAGAATCCAAAATATTCTTCACCCATTTTGATGGTTTTCGAAGGGGGGAGCAGCACACTGCGTCCCTCTCTGACACAATGGTGAAGACACCTGGATCAGACGCTCACCTGCAGGTGTGTGACTGTATGTGCGTGTGTACGCGTTTACTTATATACTGTATGTGCATCTAGAGATGGGTGTGACCTTCTCAGAGTTAATTATAAAAGTGTGACGTAGAGTTGTCAAAAATCTGAGATTGAGAATCATTAATGATCAATTTATAGCAGGAATTGTGAGACTGCGTTCCTGTAAAGCCTAAGAGGACATCTCAACAGTCACATCACCTGCATCTTAATTATTGGGTTCCCCTGAGTCAACTAGCCTATGTCAAGTAAAGATCTACTACTGCAAACTATGGTCCAGACATTAGTGTATATACTGTAGCATTGCAGCTTAAAGACAAAAGAAAGTGAAAATGGCTGATCAAACATTAAATTACAGCCATTATACATTTAGGGTTCAGGAGCATTTAATGGACCTCCTTAAGTGATTCTATTGGCTGAGAAACTTGGGTACTCTGTTGCCTGATTATAGCTACCAAAAACTGCTTTATAGTGTATTTATTCTTAATCATATTTGCATAACACATTAAATTGCCACAGCTAAAAATGGTGAAATTAAACATTTCAGGCTTTAGTTTGCAAGCTAACCGTTTAACTTACTAGCTTAGCATAGCAATGTATGATAAGGTGACCAGTGCCACTTCCTGGGGACACGTTCAGCACAGGATTTTGAAATAACCAGATTGTTTGCGCTGTGCAGATCGACTGTTGTATGACATCAAAGTACCGCGAGAGTGAAATCCTGTGTCCCCGGGAAGTGGCACGTCTGGTCATCTTAATGTATGAAGCATAGGTTACACAAACCAAGCAGCTTTTTTTTAGTCAACAAGGGAAATTTGAGTGAAAAACTTGACCCCAATGGGAAATCTGTGCTGGGAAATCCTTCGCCCTTTTTTGCTATCCCATAAATAACCATTGAAACGACTGGATTTTGCCTGCAAGAGCAACAGTTCATTTGACCATAAGACCCAAGACCTTGTAGCAACTACTGTTTCTACAGCCAGCAATTAAATAAAGAATGAATTAATTATAAACACAATATAATAAAACTTTGCAATTGCAATCTTTTTGGAAATACAAAACTATTTTGCATGTTTGTGAGTGGAGAAAGTGTTACGGCATGTGTTAGCAGGAGCTAACAGGAACATCAGCCAAATCTTGACCCCTTAAATCCTGGAAGAGTTAACATTTTTTTCAACTTTTGACCACATGACAAAGTGTAACTTTCATAAAAAAAATACTTACTTGCAATGCACCAACCCGATCAGAATCAATGGATTTGTAGCACTTTTAGCTGCAAGTGTAAACATGATTATTAGGCTTGAATGTAAGATTGACTAATGACTAAAGATGATGTCTTTGTTGTTGAATCGTCATTCTTGGGTGTATTACCAAGTAAACTGCCTGAATTTCTGCCACTATCTTTTAGTTCATGTGATAACCACGTTATTCTTTAGAGACCTGCTACAACACACTGTGAAGCTGAAGGATCAATCATTAACCAATCATGACTTAAACATTTTCTGGTTCAGATAGATGCATGCATGTCTTGTTGGTTATATCATGAGACCTCTTGTTCAGCATCCAAACCTCAATGTCTATGATGACTTTTATAGTCTACTCTCTTTTAGTCCAGACAGTGATAGATTACTTTTGAAGGTGCACAGATTTAAGTTAAAAAAAGATCATATGGCACAAGGTGTGGTTGAGAAAGACAACTTTGGCTTTATCAACACCTCGGCAATCCCTCTTAAATACCCAAGAGTCATATCTCATCAGGGCCATGAACATTTATCTTACATTTAACACTTGACCTTTCTGCACGGCCTTCATCATATTCACTTAACTATACTATTATAAATCGATCATACAATGTAACTCCTGCATATCACTATTTATGGTGTATTTACAGTATGGCATCTCTGACAGAACATTTACATAATCAAAAAGAGCAAGATTACAATGACCAAAGAGCTGGTGACTAATGAGTTTCTCAGAAACTGAGCCAAGATATTATTTACATTTACTTCACAATTACATTTAGCAGACGCTTTTATCCAAAGCGACTTACAAATGAGGACAATAGAAGCAATCTGTTGTAATTTTTTATATTACATAAAAAGAAAACAAGTATATAGAATAGAATTCTAATAAATACTAACATAATCAGAAGTGACTTTATGTTCTTAATGGCCATTCTTGGCCTTATTGTGCACAATTCATTGGGAAAAAGATTAATGGCAAACTTCCATCAACAAGGTCTGACCCAAAACAACTTTCCTAAGCAGAGGATGTTACATAGGTTGCACAGGCTAATGAATGTGTTAGTTTCATGTGGTTCTGAAAAACTTTTACAACATTTTAAAAATGCCATGTGGTGTAGCCATCAAGTAAAAGTACCAAACTTTCCTTTCATCATGAATACATGTGAGTGGACACGTCTTAGTCATTGTTATTACAATTATCATTATTAGGGGTTCAGTTTTTGCAGTAAAAGGGATTGTGAAGACCAAACCCTAAGGCCTAGAGAATTGAAACTTGGTCAGATGGAAGGGCCAATAGGTGGCGCTATAAGAGTAAAAACCATAAAAATGGCTATAACCACTCAACCATTAGTCCAGTTGACTTGAAAATTCTGTTGACTAATCGCTTGGGCCAAGCGATTAGTCGACAGAAGAGACAGACAGCTGCACTTGAGTGCTTTGCGTAATACTTGGTTGTAGATCTGCTGTTTGAATTATTACTTGCTGCTATGAAGGAATATTTAGTTTTCTGCCTATTTCTACGTTATATTTTTGATTGCACTTTCTTGTAATTATAATAATTGCCCTCGGCTAAGAAGGAGCCTGTGTAATTTAATTGCTCCCTTCCTGCATTTAAGTGCGAAGTGTAGTTTCGATTTGAGGAATTGCCCTGCTATAGACTATTGGCTGTGCTAATTAGAAGGCGGCCACAGCTGTGTTCACTTTAGTGTTTTAGACTGTGTATTTATCTGATGTCTGTGCGCTGATGTGGAAGCATCAGCGGAAGCGTTCAGGCCTCCTTGTGTGAAGACCAACAAGGGTAAAGACCTGTGACTTTACCTGCGTGACTTCTCCGAGCAACGAAACCGCCAAGGCACTTAAGTATAATTTTTATCTTCCCTGTACACACTCTCCTTTTCTGTCCTCTCTTTCCCACCTCTATCATCTGTTTCCTAAACATTCCGGTTCTCTCTCGACAACGCTCTAAGGTCACACGCAGACGGCAACGCAATGTTGCTAACCTGCATCCTATCTCTACATCCTCTACTGCACCTCTTTCTTTCTCTGTGGGTCTCTGGAATTGTCAGTCAGCTGTCAACAAAGCAGACTTCATTTCTGCTTTTTCTTTAAACGCCACACTCAGCATCTTGGGCTTGACTGAGACCTAGATTCGTCCAGAAGACTCAGCAACCCCAGCTGCTCTCTGTAACAATTTCTCTTACTCTCATACCCCCCGTCAGGTTGGCCGGGGTGGGGGCACTGGTCCGCTCATTTCTAACAATTGGAAATACTCAACCCACTCTCCTCTATGCAGTTATAACTCATTTGAATCTCATGTGGTCACTATAACAGCTCCTGTAAAACTCCAGGTTGTGGTAATTTACCGCCCTGCTGGGCAAATTCTATCCACCTTCCTAGAAGAGCTGGATGGGCTGCTGTCCTCATTCCCGGAGGATGGCAGTCCACTTTTAGTCTTTGGCGACTTCAACATTCATCTGGACAAGCCTTATGCTACAGACTTCCATTCACTCCTTGCTTCATTTGACCTCAAACGACTTACCACTACAAGCACGCACAAATCAGGCAACCAACTTGACTTAATTTACACACGCAATTGTATCGCAGACAACATTCTGGTAAAATCCCTACATATCTCTGATCATTTCTTGATTACATTTAAACTACATTTTGCTACCTGTGTGCCACCAACCCCTATACAGGTTACTTTTAGACGAAACCTACGCTCCCTTTCCCCCTCCCATCTTTCCTCCGTTGTATCCTCCTCTCTTCCCTCACCTACCCATTTCTCATCTCTGGATGTGAATGCAGCAACTGACACTTTATGCTCTACTTTAACCTCTTGTCTAGATGATATTTGTCCTCTCTCCTCCAGGCCAGCATGGGCTGCCCCTTATAACCCCTGGTTATCCGATGTTCTTCGTGAGCATCGGTCTAAACTCAGGGCAGCAGAGAGAAAATGGTGCAAATCTAAAGATCCCTCAGACCAGAGAAAGATGAAAGCAAATACTGATACATACATCAGTCTTTGCTTTCATCTTTCTCTGCTGAAGTCCATACTTCCACAACAAGATCAACAGCGCTCCAGACACACGTAATCTCTTCAACACTTTCAATTCTCTCCTCTGTCCCCCTCCACCACCTCCCACCACTTCTGTAACAGCTGATGATTTAGATTAAAATATTAGACAAGGTTAACGGAGGCTGATTGGAACGAAAGTCAGTGGGCCCAGAATGTCTGTGAGAAAATTGAAAGAAATCAGCCACCAGGAGTCATTAACGAGTCTTATGTCTCTGTAATCACGTGGCATTTCACATTTACACACAATATTTCTATCATATGATATAGCTCCTCATTCTGAACAACTTTGCCTCAAGAAACCCTACTGTCAATCAAATCGTTTGTCAAATATTTGAGATTATGTGAAAAAACTACTTTTGCGAACAAGTCCTAGGTTTTTTGCTTAACAAAAACCTCAACAAAACCACTGCACTCTCTTATGTCAATAATTATCAAAAAAGTTGAACTTTACACTCTGGTTAGCTATAACACAATCATTTTAAAAAGGGGCATGGCCAAATATACCCACACACCTATAAATCCTAAATGAAAACCCAAAACTTCATGAAAGTAGGTTAGCACAAGCAAGAGATGATTCTAAACAAGTACGCAATGTTTTATTGAAATCGGACCAAAGGTGGTTTCAAAAAGGTTTCAAAAATACAATGGGCCTCATTTATCAATCTATCGTAGAAACGAGCGCAGATCCGAGTGCACAAATCAATTTATGACAGGGTTAAGGTGTGAGTCATGAGACATTCATATGCCACCAATCCCATTTTATAAATGATCGTATGTTGATAAATGTTGCGGCTAAAAACAATTGCCATTTGAACATAACACCCCTAAAAACACCCCTGTTTAGAAGCCTTGCCCCTAGAGTTTACGACATGGAGAAACGTAACCCGGCCAAATAGAGGAAGTAATCTCATTAAAGAGAAATTGATCTTACTCCAAAAACACCTGTTAATCTTGCAATTGCAAACAGATGCATTAATTTGTATGTACTGTATATTAAATACCAGTAAATATAACGAAACATATACAAACATTATGAACACTATAGACTATACTATACACTCCACAACAAATCTTTTAAATTTAACGGTATTACAGAACACGAATGAAAAATAAGTAGCTATAAAATTATCTATTAAACTATAAAATAAAACAGAAATTAGGCTATAGTGGCATTCATTATAAACAGCATACAAATCTCATTTGACAAGAATCCAAATGTTTCCATTTTTGCCATGTAACATTTGCTTGTTAAACTATTATTCCTTCTTTCTGGTCCTCAAATCTGATTGACTGAGAGCATTTTCCAGCAGTGTAAAATTCTAGTGATAACAGAATTCCAACCATTTCACAGTTTGTAATAGTCTGCTTGCAGTGTTTCTCACAGTGAGTGTCATGGGCAGCACAAAGGCAGGACTCTAATATACAGCATTAAAGTTATATAAAATATAACGTTATGAGACTTTGCCATTCAGCACTCATGAACCTGATGAGAACAGCCTCACTTCAACCAGTTCTTCTGGAATTTGCAGCTGGCTCTGATGCCTCTGTAGTGGTTAAACATGAGATATAATTTGTTTTGGGTAAATCTAATGGGCAGCCTTTGGTCTTATGTATCTATTATTTGTTCCAGAGCAAATAGTTTTGGCTGAGGGCAAAATCTCATAACGTTATATTTTATATAACTTTAATGCTTTAAATCAGAGTGCTGCCTTTGTACTTTTGACTGAATTGCCTACCAACTTTTAAGATGGCTGTTGATGTTGTTTATTAAATATTATTATTTAATAATATATTATGTAAATAATAGTAGTATTTAATATAAGTATTTATTGTATGTACATGGGTGTTTGGGAGTGATTTTAGTTACATTATTCCGCCTTTAGATGGCGACAAGAGACTGGCTGTATCCAAAATCGCCCCCTATGGGCAGCCTTTGGTCTTATGTATCTATTATTTGTTCCAGAGCAAATAGTTTTGGCTGAGGGCAAAATCTCATAACGTTATATTTTATATAACTTTAATGCTTTAAATCAGAGTGCTGCCTTTGTACTTTTGACTGAATTGCCTACCAACTTTTAAGATGGCTGTTGATGTTGTTTATTAAATATTATTATTTAATAATATATTATGTAAATAATAGTAGTATTTAATATAAGTATTTATTGTATGTACATGGGTGTTTGGGAGTGATTTTAGTTACATTATTCCGCCTTTAGATGGCGACAAGAGACTGGCTGTATCCAAAATCGCCCCCTATACCCTCATTCACTATTCCCTACATTAGTTCAATATTGAGTTCACGTGAATTCGGACACTGACTGCACAGGAAAGGACTGCTGATTAATTTGCATATTTTGTGCTTGTTGTTTAATAATCATTTGAAACTAGCAAATTGGCAGCTCCAGTAAGAGAGTATCTTGAACTCTGTCATGGAAATTATGTATAAATAGTTAAACAATTTAAAGCTGCAGTCTGTAACTTTTTTTGGTTAAAAATTATCCGAAATCAATATTTGACAAGTACATAACCAGCCAGTGTTCAAAACTATCGCCTTACTTTAGCCCGATTCACAGCGGTTAGCTTATAATGTTTTCTAATTTGAGTGGTACAGGTAGGTTTTCGCGGGAAATTCGAGCATGATTAAATTATATTCCAGTTTTATATGTGCTTCTGATTACAGATAGCCTGGGATTACACAAGATTTGTATTTTTAAGACAACCAGTTCGAAGGGAGCATAATTTGCTTTTTGGGTTAAAATGATTTCTTAATATGAAATTCGAATGGTATGACAATTAGAGATTAGACTGTACAGAAATTGAAATCTACATACACACTATAGGCAATGCTGATGTTGTTAACATTAATAATTTGGGTACGGTGACTGACTGCCACACATACTCCTCAAAACATTAGATTCATTCGCGCTAGAGCCGTCAGTCGTGCCGACGCACAACCCACGCAAGGAAGATAATTCCGCAAACAGCTGCAATTGCAGGTTTTCAAACAGAGATGGCGACAAAGAGGCAAAACATACGGACTGCAGCTTTATTAATCAATTTACAATGATTTTTTTTACCTGTGTTGTATTACGGCATGGACGAGCGCTTTGTAAAATGAATGGCTGGATGATTCAGCTGCGGGCGCCATCCTCTGGCGAGATGTAGCATTCATTCGGCATGCGACTCTCACAGTGAATCATGGGTATTCTTTAGCCGTTGAGTGTACATCGGTTGTACACTCGTTTTTGCAGTGCATTGTGGGATTGAATGAGTGCACTCGATAATGTCAAATATGATTTCGAACAACACTAAAAATGGCTGTCCCCTTAAATAGTGCCCTATTTGAGGGTATAGGGGGAGATTTCGGATACAGCCACTGTCTTTATGAGTGAGTCAGCAGTAAAGACTTTTATATGGAAAGAGACTGAAACAGGATAATAGCAAAGTTAATAAGAATTCTTTCTAAATGCAGCACCGTTCTTATTTCGCTCTGCATAACCTGAACTGAAATTATTATTATTTTTGCTAAGAATGAACCGAAATGAAAACATTTCGCTTTTAATCTGTGTATTTAACAGCCTGGGAGACCTTCCCAGGGCAGTACCTTGCCTCACCGACTAAAATCAGGGTGCCCACTACGGAGTCGGCACCAGAGGTTAGGGGGCATAGTGACCGAGGTGGCCGGGCCGGGCCCCCTCAGGCCCCCCCTGTGGCGCCGACGCTGTAGTGATAGCAATTTGAAGGTCATTGGAATTGAACATGTGTCATTAAACATCAGAGGTGGAGATAGACTTAGACGGTTAAAACAACGAGAAATGTATTGATACATAAATTGGATGGTTTCTCATGTCCTGGTCTTAATGAAGAAATGGATTTTTCACCATTTTTGCAATAGTTAGATTTGTTTGTAGGTGCTTTCTATTGGTATTTGTTCAATTGAAAAAAAAATGTCCACTGTCATGTCTTTTGAGATTTTGATATATGATTCTTGGGTTGTATTTTTTTTCTTTTTTTCTTCTCCTTTGGTATGGTTTGATATCTGTAAATACCCAAGAGACATCGAGTGATCAGATTCTGAAAATGTATAGTCACAGATGTATTTATTCAGTGAAAGTTTTTAAACTCTTAAGAGATATCAAGTGGTTAGATTTTGAAAATGTAGTCACAGGTGTATCTATTTAACAAGTTCTCATTCTCTGTTTTCTAACACCCTGACGAAGGCCTGTTTGGGTTGATATGCGTTGGTGTTTTTTAACATGTAGCCCTGTCACACGTTAAAGGCTTTTTATATTTTGCCTGCTATGTGAGTGCCTGGACTTGGATTATTTTTGCTCGAATTTCCCGCGAATTCCTACAAGTGCCGCTCAAATTAAAAAAACATTATTATCAGCTAACCGTTGTGAAAACGGCTAAAGTAAGGCGATAGTTTTGAACAGTGGCTTATGTGCTTGCTCAAAATTTGATTTCGGATAATTTTTAACCAAAAAAAAAGTTCGGACTACAGCTTTAATTTAATAGTTCGCCCCAAAATCAAAATTCTAAATTCTGTCAAGCACTCACCTTCATGGTGTTCGACTTTCGTTCATCTTCAAAACAAAAACTGAGATATTTTAATGAAATCTGACAGATGTATGTCCTTCCGCTAAAAGTCACCAAAATGTTCATCGCACACAAAAACATCGCAAAAGTAATCCATATGAATCAAGTGGTTTCTTCCAAGTCCTCTGAAGAGACACAATCGCTCTATAGAATTGAACAGATTTAGACTTTTATTCACATAAATTAACATACATACACACATTCAGAATTGGTAAAAGGAAGCTTGGACGTGCTTGTTTGATGTGTGCATGAACCAATCAGATTTGGTAACATGTGTTATGCATGTACATAACGCATTATGCATGTACATTATGCATGTGTTATTCCCACAAAAGCCAGTGAGGTTAGTTTGCGTGTATCGTGCGGTAGGTTGAGCTTGTTTAAATAGGTAAATAAATAGGGATTTTAAGCATTTCTTTGGAAAAATCATTTACGATGCACTTCAAATTATACGATGTTGAAATGCTTTTGTATAGTAGTAGCTGATTTGTATAATAGTAGCTTATTATAATGAATGCATTATGTATTTAAAAGGAAAGTAAATATGTATTTTATTTTAATTGTATTACAAAACAGCTACAGCTAAACAGGTACAAATAGGTAAAACAGCACAACATTGATTTTAAGTATGCTTATTACTATGGCATAGTTGACAAAATGATATTTCTAATACATAATTTGGTACAATGTAAGAATGCACTTGCATATTTTATAACTGTAATGTAAATAGGTGAGTGAATTAATATACTTTAAAAAATATATTAAAATGTTTTTAAAAATTAAGATCTTACTTTTGAAAAGCAGGCTGAAGCACATGTTTATTACATACATATTTAAAATATATTGCAATAGGTCTAAATATGGTCATAAATAAGATACATATACTTTAAACCCATTAAAAGCTGAATCATTTCATGTTCTTACACAAAGGAAACGTAAAATATTCTTTAAATAAGAGTCAAATAAGTATGTTTTCTGTAAATACACTAAAATGTCACAAAAAGTATGTTTGTATTTTATCATATTTCTTAAAAGCGTAACTAATCATATATTTATTACCAAAGTACTTCTATTAAAATGCAATTCAATACATTTTAATGCACTTCATGTAAGCAATTTGGAAGTACAATTGTACTATAAATATACTATATGAGATTCAAGCACATTTTTAATATGGAGTACTTTTTTTGCCACCTGGGTATGAACTCTGTCTACTGTTTGACTATATCTGGCAATCACCATAAGCTATAAAAACTACTTCTTCTGCACAGCCAGAGGTGTAACTCAAACAATAACGACTGGAACAATAAACTTCATAATAACAAATGAAAACCTTCACAATTTGATTTAAGGTGATAACTTTAGTATGGACCAAAGCCTGACAGCTCCATAAAACTTGCATGAGCTAACCATATCAGTACTTTCAGCTGTAATGAATTGTGGGTCGCATCTGGCATCAGTGCATTATGGCTCCATAAAAGATTTCATTCACCCTATCATGATATCAAGGTTCTGAAATTGAGGGGCAGGTAGGGTCATTATCATGCCATATCTGTGATAATGTGAAATCACTCGTCATGCTATTGATAGATAGATAATAAGCACAGATACAAAATGCGTAGCACATTACCACAGAAATTCACCACATTTGGTACACTGATTGATTGATGTAGTATATGATCGAGCAATGTCATTTTATCGATGTCCATCACATTCTGAGTACAAAACAAAATGTTTTTAAGATTTAAAGCACAGTCATCCTTCATATTGATCCCATTTACTTACCGGCCAACACACCATACTTCTGCCAGCCAGGAAAAAGCCTCCTACTGTTGTTCGATTGGTCCGTACCATTGCCTTTGGACAGAAAGAGCCATTAAATTCAGCCTATGTACAGTTCTAGATGCATTACATATTAGACAAAATTGTATGTAACTTTATGTATGACATAGCTACAGGATCAGACACATTACATAATAACACATCACATTTGGTTGATGGATTGGTGTTCAATGGCTTTGTTTGTTGTTCGATTAAATATGTTTGAATTTTCTCAAGAGGTTTTAAAAAGATATGGATTTCAGATGGACAAATGCAGGTAGAAAAATATGGTGTTATCAAGAAATCCCAGAAATGTCAATACCCTCAATAAGACTAATTTGGAAATAATTTAGTAAAATAATTTCTAAAAATGTGTAAATAATTTCTAAAAAAATATTTTAGTTTCAAACAGAAACATGAAGAAATATATAAAAAAAACATGATTGGAACAATTAATTAAAAAAATTCAAAATGCATTATTATATTTTATTATATCTGAAAAAATCAGTTTTTCTAAAGGAATTTAGCATTTTTTGTTTTGCAAAACAACTTGCAAAAATACATTATTATATTATATTATATATTACGGTAACTTTCTGCAAAACCAGTTTTCATCATCATTCGGTCTTCAGAATTATCTTATACAGCCATTTATATGTACATTACATTTAATGCAAGGTTAACAATTCACAAGTCTGTCAATGGTAGAAAAATATTTTACAGGTGGATAGAAATTACTGACCACTTACCCATATTCCCACAGCCAGAACCACCAGAAAATATATAACAATCACTGAGATGTCCGCTGGCTTGTTAACATATATGGTGACGTTTTTTCTGTTCTCATTGCGAGTCCAAGAGAATCCAAAATATTCTTCACCCATTTTGAAGGGCCAGTGGAACAACACACTGCGTCCCTCTCTGACACGACGGTGAAGACACCTGGATCAGATGCTCACCTGCAGGTGTGTGACTGACCTTCAATTATATGTGTGTCTAGAGATGGGTGTGACCTTCTCAGAGTTAATTATGAAAGTGTGTTTGTCACTTACAGTTGTCAAAAATCTGAGATTGAGAATCATTAATGATTAACTTGTATAGCAGGTGTATAGAAAGCGTGAGATTGGGTTCGAGTAAGAGGACATTTCAGCAGCCACATCACCTGCATCTTAATTATTGGGTTTCACAGAGTCAACTAAAGGGATAGTTCACCCAAAAATGAAAATTACCCCATGATTTACTCACCCTCAAGCCATCATAGGTATTTATGATTTTATATGACTTTCAGACGAATACAATTGGAGTTATATAAAAAAAAAATGTCCAGGCTCTTCCAAGCTTTATAATAGCAATGAAGGGTGGTCAAGATTTTGAAACAATATAAAGTGCATCCATCCATCATAAAAAGTGTTCTACACAGCTCTGGGGGGTTAATAAAGGCCTTCTGAATCGATGTGTTTGTGTAAGAAAAATATCCACATAAAAACTTTATAAAGCATAGCTCTAGCTTAACGCTAACTGTCATACACGCATTCCAGATGATGACGTAGGCAAACACGGCGATGAATGCGAAGTGACAAACGCAGAAGTGTTTCAGTGTAAGCCACTAGGAGACTGGTTTTCCTTTGCTGTAAGCAAAACTTGGTTCTCGTGAGAAACTAGCATATTCTCACCAGAGTTTACGCTATGCCTAACTCTGTTTGTTCAATATTCAGTTGACTTTGTACTAAAAAGTCCACAGGTCCAGACAGTATCTCAGCTCTACTGTTAAAATCTTGTGCAGAGGAACTTACTGCTGCATGGTATTTTTCAGAAATCTGTGGACTCTCATACTATACCTGATCTCTGGAAAAAATCAATTATTGTTCCATTATCAAACAAACCAGGTTCAAGTGAGAACAATTATCTTAGGCCAGTAGCCTTAACATCCTGTGTACTGAAAAGCTTTGAGAAGTAAATGGTGTGCATTTTAAAGACAAAAGTTAATCTAGTACTTGACCAATTACAGCTTGCATATAGGCAGGGTTGTAGTGCAGAAGATGCAGTTAATGCGTTTATTAATTTTATCACCAAACATCTGGAAAATACAAAACCATATGCACTGCTATTATTTGTGGATTTCATTTCGGCTTTTAATATGATTAAGCCCCACTTTTTAATTCATAAATTAAAAACATTGAATGTGAATCCCTTTTTAATCAAGTGGCATTTATCAATCTTAACAAATCGGACTCAACAGGTTAAAGTCAACCACACTTTATCTGGTGTTCAACAAGGATGTGTCAGTTCTCCTATACTTTTCACGTTGCATACCACTGAGTGTTTGAGTTGTAATCAAAATCATTTCATTGTGAAATTTTCAGATGATAAGGTACTTTGTATGGGAATTCTGACCGTCAATATTTTTCAGAGGTGTAAAAGTTTGTAGAGTGGTATGATTTAAATAATCTTATTTTAAATACAAAGAAGACAGAAGAGATGATTTCCGAAACCAGATTAGTAGGCAATCATACACCAATAATTATACATGAAGCATCAATTAAGCAAGTACGTTCCTATAAGTACCTTTATTGATAATACACTTAGCTGGGGTATTCGTGTGGATACAATTTGATCTCGTGTACAGCAGAGACTGTATTTTATGTGTAGACTTATGTATGTGTCAGCAAAACAGAAGGAGACAACACAGGATGAAGTGTTTATTGATAAGGTGAGTCAGAGTAATGCATAAAATGGAACAGATGAGCAATGGAGACTTAGCAGAGATAACTGGTGTGCTTTTGCAGGATTGAAGAGAGTCCACAGAGGAGACTGCACAACGGACAGACTAGAGGGCCGGCTGGCTTGCTGACGTCTCGAGTGGCTTGAGACTGACTGGAGTGCTGGCTGGTTTGGGGCCGACTGAGAGATGGGCATCTGGAGGGTCGGCAAACTTGATGTCTGGAAGGCTCATATCAACAAACTTAAGGAAACACAAAGATAAGCAGATAATTAGCCATTATGAAGGGATTTGGCTACATCAGGGCGAACTGGAACATCGAGGATAACCTTTATGGTCATGTTAAAGGAACTTTGTGCACAGAAGATTCCATCAGCCACCGTGGCCACTTCAGGACAGTCAAGTACCTCGGGGTTGACTTCTTTGGTCATAGACGGACAGACAGAAGACTCAGGAATGACCTCCATGGCAGTATCTTGATAAGACAGAAAATTTGGGAGTGGACACCTCTACTTCGCTATGAGTGGGAGAGCAGTGTGCAGCCCAAACACACATTATGGCTAAAGCCGTAACAGGGATAACTATCAGTGTAAAATATACAGCTAATTTTGACTGTCCATCAGCGGAGCGATTTAGTTACAGCATATGCTAGTAGTGTTATCGGGAGCTAACAAGATCATCAGCCAGATCCTGGTCCCTTAAATGCTGGAAAAGTTAGCTTTTTTCACCTTTTGGCCACACAACAGTGTGACTTTTACAAATCCTTTGCCTTTATCCTCTACATATATTGGAAACAGTGGATTTGTAGCACTTTTAGCCACAGTGTAAGCATGATTTTGACTGCAGGATAGGCTTAAAGTGTCATGAAACCCCCCGGTTTCAGCACTGGTCTTTCACACCTTCGATCTGAATTCTGAAATGATCTTTACTAGACCAATACCCATTGAGATTTTTGAAACGTCATTCTTGGTTACATTACCTGCCTGAATGGAAAAGGAAACTGCCTGAATTTCTGCCACTATCTTTTAGTTCAGGTGATAACTGCATTCTTCTTTAGAGACCTGCTACAACACACTGTGGCTGAAGGATCAATCATTAACCAATCATGACTTAAACATTTTCAGGTTCAGATAGCAGATGCATGCATGTCTTGTTGGTTATATCATGATGCCTCTTGCTCAGCATCCAAACCTCAATGTTTATGAAATCTAACAGGGAAATCGCCCTATTTTTATAGTCTACTCTCTTTTAGTCCAGACATTGATGGATTAATTTTAAAGTTGCACAGATTTAAGTAAAAACAAAAAACAGATCATCTGGCACAAGGTGTGGTTGAGAAAGACAACTTTGGCTTTATCAACTCCTCAACAATCCCTCTGAAATACCCGAAAGTCATATCTCATCAGGGCCATGAACATTTATCTTTAAGATGATAAGGTCTTATAGTCATAAACACTTGACCTTCTGCACAGCCTTCATCTTATTCACTTAACTATACTATTATAAATCGATCATACAATGTAACTCCTGCATATCACTACAGTTAAAGGCATCTGTGCCAAAACATTTACATAATCAAAAAGAGCAAGATTACATTGACCAAAGTGCTGGTGACTTTGGGTTTTTCAGAAATTGAGCCAAGATATTATTAATCAGAAGTGACTTTTGTGTTCCTAATGCACATCTTGGCCTTATTTTCAGTGCACAATATTGAGAAAAAAGATTAATAGCAATCTTCCATCAACAAGCAGTGTCCTGAAACAACTTTTCTATGCAGATTATGTCACGTAGGCCGCACAAGCTATATGAATAATGAATGTGTTGGTTTCATGTAGTTCTGAAAAACTTTTATACCGTTTTATGTCATGTGGTGTAACCATCAAATAAAGTACCAAATTCCCTTACATCTCGAATACATGTGAGTGGACACGTCTTAATCATTTTTTTTTATTAAATGTATTTTTCAATATAAAATATCATGAATTATTAATTCATTACATTTTGAGGAGGCACACCACATGACATTTTACATCCTGAGCTAACCTTGCAAGGTCCACTTATCTATTTTAAAAGACTTATTGCTCTTGACACACATGAGGGTCTATAGTGGTCTTCTCTATGATGTAATTTACAGTTTTTTTATGCTTGTTGGTTGGACCACATGACAAAAGTTTTCAAACAAATAAGTTTTGTAAAATATAATGTCTAGTCCAAGAAATAGTAATAACAAATGTCAAATTTCATGGGCTTTCTCATCAACGCTTTTTTAAAAATTATAGGGTCTATAGTGGTCTTCTCTATGATGTAATTTACAGTTTTTTTATGCTTGTTGGTTGGACCACATGACAAAAGTTTTCAAACAAATAAGTTTTGTTAAAATATAATGTCTAGTCCAAGAAATAGTAATAACAAATGTCAAATTTCATGGGCTTTCTCATCAACGCTTTTTTAAAAATTATTATATCAGGACAGTTGTACCATCCTGACATCTTTTAGTTTATGTAAGATTGTACAAATTTGCCACCACTTTGCCAAAACTAAAAATGGCTATAAACTATCATGTGTTTGTGTTGTGAAGGCAGATTCATGTTGACTACAAGCAAGAAAACCATTATTTATAATCCGTGTGTGAAATTGAATAAACTAGTGTAAAGTAAAATTTAATAATACATTTGTGAGACCACAATAAAGTGCCAGTAATAGACAGCATTTTGAGAGTTCCCATGGTAAGCAATGTCTTTAATGTCATTCTTACATAACCTTGCAAATGTAATCCTAATCAAAAGACTTTTGATCACCGCGTCTCATAACAGAGTGCTGCTCACATTTTTGATGACAGCATACTGTTGTGAGATCAGCAGATATACACAATTCACAGGGCTAGCAAGGTGTACAAGGTGAGCTTGGGGGAACGACAGACAAACACATCTAAGCAGTGATGGAGGTACAGACCAAAGACAAGTGAAGAAGAAGAACAACGTAATAAGGTGTAAGATCTCATTCTGTAATAAGTGTTACAGAGTTTCTACGAAGATCAAGTCCTTACAAGTACACACTAAGTAAATGTCACGTGGAGACCAGCAGGCTACCAGCGACTCGCTGCGGGGAGAAAGGAGAGAATCGTATACAGAAAAAGAGGTCAAGAACAGGAAGAGAGGAATAGGTTGGAAAACAGAAAACAAGTGGATAAATACCCCCTTTTTCACCAAAATGGTGTCAGAACTGGCTTAAAGGGTGAACAATGATGTAACTTGTTTACTATTATTTTATGACAAATTTTGAGAACATATATTAGCATTTAAAATCATCTGAATCAGTGCCATCAAGACAAATATTTAACAAAATATTTTATATGCTATAAATGATCCAAATTAATGTCAGATAGTGTCTTTATATCACAAATAATACATAACTATTTGTGTATATATTTTAAAATAATTTCATTTATGTTTTTAAGAGTACATTCAAACATCCAAAGCAATT